GAGAGAGAAAGAAAGAAAGAAAGAGAGAGAGAGAGAGAGAGAGAGAGAGAGAGAGAGAGAGAGAGAGAGAGAGAGAAAGAAAGAAAGAAAGAAAGAAAGAAAGAAAGAAAGAAAGAAAGAAAGAAAGAAAGAAAGAAAGAAAGAAAGAAAGAAAGAAAGAAAGAAAGAAAGAAAGAAAGAAAGAAAGAAAGAAAGAAAGAAAGGAGCCTGGTCCTTTTACATCTTGAGGGCTTTTATCTATTATCCAAAGGCATGGATATTCATCAGCTTTCCAAGTGTGTCCTTTCAGGATTGAGATCTCTACTGATTGGTTGGTGCTAGGGTAGGAGATCATTAGTCATTGCATCTGGTCCCAAAGCCAGACATGTCATTGCTTCATCTGGTTTTGCTGCTTTTCAGGGACAAGATGAAATACAATTGAGGCCTAGATGTTATCGCTAGCTTAACCAAAACTGTCTCCTTGGTCAACAGAGCCAAGGCTTTGTTCTAAAGGCTTAATGTTTAAGGGAATAATTATACAAGGGTTATATGGGAGTTGTATGATGCTATTCTCTGGCCTTCTTGTTTTGTCTCCCTCATGACTAGCAACATGCCAAGGGATGAAAGTTCAGGGGAGAATCTGAACTGCATGACCAGTAATATGAAAGGTCAGGATATGTAATCTGCATAACCAATGATATATTAGGGAGGAAAGGTCACCCTGGGAGTGAAGTTTCATCATGCAATACTTGTTTACGAAGTTTTCCCCATTGCTAGGCACCAGGAACTTTCTAGCTGATAACCTTCTGTACCTGGCCTGTAGTTTCTACTCTGGTCATATCTGTCTTACTGTCTACAATATCAGATAAACTTAAAGCTCCAGGGGTAAAAAAAAAAATAAAAAAAAAAAAAGATAGGACTCTAATATATATTATATTTATCTGTGTACTGAGAATGTAGAATTATTGAAACTTGTTTGGTATAAAGAATCTTCTGAAAATTAACATTATTCTTCATTGGATATGATTATTTCAGCCTGTAAGCAGATACCCATGTTAGTACCTCCGTTTTAATGTTAATTTGCCTGGGTTAGTCTTCTGGTGATAGAGTAGACATCTAGACAGGCATGAGCAGATCAGGAACCAAAGGCCAGAGTGGAAATTCCTGGATGCCTAACAAGGAGCAAAACTAGAGAAAACAAGTATTATAGGCTTGGCCTTACCCCCACGGTGACCTTTCCTCTCCTAGCATGTCGCTAGTTATGCAGTTCAGACCCTTTGGCCTTTTATATCATTAATCATTCAATTTAGCCCCCCTTTAGAATAGTAACAAGGGGGCCAGAGAATAGAATCATACAACTCCCATACAAGTCCTTGCATGACCATTCCCTGAAGCATTAAACCCCCAGAACAAGTAGGTTCTGACTCGCATCTAATAATGTTTGATCCAAGGAACAAAGCCTTGGATCTGTTGACCAAGAAGAAAGTTTTAATCAAACTAGAGATAACATCTAGACCTCAGCTGAGTTTGAGCTCCAGGCCCAAAAAAGCAGCAAAACCAGATGAAGCAACACTAGCTGACATCAGGACCAAAGGTAATAATAACTAATGGCCTCCTACCCTAGCACCAGTCAATCAGTGGAGACCATGACCCTGAAAGGACACACTTGGAGAGCTAATGAATATGCTATTGAGATCCTCCCATGAGACCTCCCCTAAAATCCCCACCTTTAGAAAACAAATAAAAACCCTTAAGATGAAGAGCCCAGCAGGTGCTCTCCTTCTCCTGAGTACTCCCACAGCTCTCCACACCCCCTTTTGTCCCCAGGCATACTCTCTCTGGAGCATAATGGTTCCTTTCTCCCTCTTCCTTCAAGTACATTATCTTTACCTTTCTTTCTCCTAAGCTCCAAGGGCCCTTCTTTTGCCACTGCAATTCGTTTTTCATGCAGCACATTTGGCTCATTTCTTCTACCCCTGTGACTTTCTAAATAAACTTTTGCTTGTATTTCAGTTCTTGGCTCTGAATTCTTTTTTAGCTGAACTCAAGAAGTGGGGTGTAATTCTGACATTAACATCAGGAGGAACTAGTACATTTTTTTGTGGGGTAGCAATAGGCTCCCCACAGAACAGAGACCTCTAATTTGTCTCCTGATGGCTGTTCTTCTTCTTGGCTGAACCAGATCCCTCCAGGATAGGACCACATATATTTTCTCCCAGTCTTCACCTCTTCAGACCACTTTCCTTCCTATTCGCTCCCTGGCTGTGCAAGTCTGAACCTGGGCCATCTGTTGTCAATTATCACTTTATTCCACAGATGGAGGCCCAGTGGTCTCATGACCCGGGTGAAAGATAACATGAGTGGAGCCATATTAAAATAGAGTCTAAGTAGCCATTTCAGAGGAACTGCTCTGAATGTCTTATTTTTCTTTATCTTACAAGCTGGACCAAACCACCGTTATTCCAAGAATGCCAAGACTATTTATTCTATTTGTAAAGACTGATGAAATTGGGCTTTGAGAATGACAAAATTTCTAACTAACAAACTAAATACAATTACAGGTGAAACTCAAACCAATGCATAAAGTAAAAATATAACCTACCTCACTTAGTACCGATAAATCTTCTTTAATATAGCTTACCTCATCTTTCTCCCTTTGCCCCATAAAACCCTGAGTGCCTATAAAGAGGGAAAACAAATTCCCTGAATTTGTTCTCCCAAATTGTAATTCTTTTGGATCTTAAATAAATGCTTAAAGCTTCTCATCTTTTTTTTTTTTTTGTCTCATTTTTGCTTTTTATCTTTCAGTTAAATACCCAGAAACTAGAGGTGGTGATATGCAATTACAAATGCAGCAAAACACCAAGTTAGTATTCTTAGAAGTTCCACTAAGAAGGAAGAAAACTGAGGAGCTTCAGGCTTGGGAAGAAGGGTGAGAGATTCTGTTTACATGAAACAAATCTAAAAACTTAAAGTTTACATGAAACAAAATTCTGTTTACATGAAATTCTGTTTACATGAAACAAATCTAAAAACTTAAAGTTTCCTTTTTCCCCCTTCTGCATCCTCACTGCTGGTAAGGAGTGAGACTCCCATTATACCAGAAATGCAGGTATATCTGACCACTCCCACCTGCAGGCTTCCTCCTTATATAGAAGCTCCCAGGACTAAGAATTCAGTTTACTGGGGAAAAATAGCCATTTCCAACATTTATAAGTGCAATATATAAAGACAATGACAGAAGTGGTGAAAATGGATGGAAGTAGGGTCTTTCTCTCCCTATGACCTTGTCTAGAGTCAGATACAGCTGTAAACAAAGGACAAATAAAATGACTAAGTGATGACAGAAGCTGAGTCTAGTCTGTTCAAGAAATGTAAGGAAGCTTTGCCAACAACTGAACAGACTCACAGGCTAAGTGCCCTGAGAATCTGTGAGAACCACCAGCTCAGGAAGAGCCACAAGTCCACAGCATGTAGCAAAGCAGGAAAACTGGGAATTTTTTTTCCTTGAGTTGACTCTGGTGGCAGACAGGATGACTGGGAAGCAAGGACACCTAATCCCAGCTGTGCCACAAACTAGTAGCAGCCCTGAGCAAGCACTTAACCTTTCTGAAATTCAGCTTGCTCCTCTGTAGAAAGCAGGGGTTACAATAGGACAAAGGGGCCATGTACATTCTTACTTCTCTCATGCCTTCTGTAGAATCTACTGTGAAACTACATCATCGTTTAGAAGTTCTTCTACAGCAATCCAATGAAAGTTTGTACACAAGTTGAAATCTACTTTTTTTCCTTCTAAAATTCCTTCTAGCTCCTAAATGGATGATTCCAATTTTCCAACTAAGAAATGATCATTTTTCTAATTTGGTAAAAACTCATTCAAAAGAAAAGAAAAAAGAAAAAGAAAAGGAAATTCAGTATTATAATTTCATACACTCCTCCTCCTCCCCACCCTGAGGCTGGGCAGGGTCTTTCTGATGTCACACTGTCCTTCCTTCTGTGTCAGAGATTTTAGTGTTTGACCTTCTCCTTCTATCAGTTCACCCAGCATGAGTGTTCTCTGCAGCACCCTTTTATCTAACCAGCCCACACTTGTTAGTACATGCAGACCCAGGGAAAGGTCCTGGGACTGAAAACCTACTTCCCCAAGGGGAGGGCAAGGAAAAGCCAATGAAAGAGGCTGGTTACACCAGGTCTGCTAATTAACAGGACCACTAAGGGAAACTTACACACAAGGTACATCTAGGGTGGCTGTGAGACAGAGTGGATCCTTGGGACACCTGACAGGTGCCAATGAACTTGGGCTAAAAGAGTTGGGAGATAATCTAGGGTAATAAAACGTGAATGTTACCAGTACAGAAACTACTTTACATGTGTGACCAGATCAGGACAACAGCCTATTCCAGGAAGGAGCAAGTCACTGGAGACAGGGGAGGGGTCAGAAAGGACATCAATTATGGTCTGAGAGTCACTAAGGGGGATTTATGGGAAGCAATCTGTTCTGGCCCAGATCCTGCTCACAGGACTGGAATCATATCATAGAATATCTTTCCTCCACACTTAAAATTTTATGTTTGGCATCAAAGAATCTATTTGAAAAGTGATTATCTCCAAAAGGAATTATATTTAAAAGCCCAAGAGTCAGAAGAGGGGACATTTAATGATTCTACTTGCTGCTCACCAAAGTTAACCAGATTTACAATTCCAACCTTTTGGCAGGAAAGCAATCATATTAACAGTAACCTTATTGAGGTTAAGGAAGCCAAGTAGTTGCAATTGAATTTTATTGAAAGAAGCCAAGAAGTTGCAATTGAATTTTATTGAAAGAAGAAGTAAAGTGATTCACATGAGATCCACCTCACAACTCACCCCTCACCCCCCAAACCACACAGGCGCAAGTCTCAGGCCAGGGAAACACTTTTGTGTTGGATAGGAGCCCTAACTTGAGTCATTTCCCTCAGTGCTAGCAAGGAGAAGGGGGAGACAGGTGACACCATGAGGTGGGGCATCTCACTGCTCTGGTCTCAGGAGGAAACCTCAACTGAAGCATCAAAGTGGACGGGCACGTACGGGTTTCCCTCACAGGCCACAATGATGTACCTCTCCTTCTGGCTGGTCCGGTAGGCACAGTTGGGGTACTTGGAGCCACTCGTCACACGACAGTCTGTGATGTTCATGCTGGAGCTGCTCTTGTGGCAGTTGGGCTGCCCATTCTTGCAGGTGATATTTCCCTGGAGGCAAATGGCCTGGACATCTACCAGAGGCTCATGCACGAAGGTGTTCACTGGTTTACACCGTCCCTGTGTCATATTCCGGCGCCTCATCATTTGGTTGCAGTAATTGGAGTTGTTGCTGGAGTTGCCGTCTGGGTCCATGTGCTGCCGCTGGAACTTCATGGCCCGTGATTCCTTGCCCAGGGAAGGCTGGACACACCCTAGCACTACCAGCACCAGGACTAGCAGTGGGAACAGGATGAGGGACTTCTCCTGAGCCATGGTGGCCTCAATCCCCTGAAGGAGCCTACCCAGAGAAGACAGAGAGGAGGAAAAGCATCACTTTAGAAGAGAACCCCAGGTCCCACCTGTGGTCTCCCTGGCTTAGTCTCCCATCAGGTCAGCCAGAAAGACACCCTTTTTCCTGCAAGATTTTCCAAGTGATGCGACACTCACATGTATTCGCCGCCTAGGCATTTGACCCTACTAGTGACAGGAAGGAGGTTCTTCCCCTCTGGGTGGTGACCTCCAAAGTGACCTAAAATCCCAGGGGTCCTGTTTTTGAATACTAGAGTTTTTATTTATTTATTTTTAATATTTTTTATTAAATTATTGTCTGTGTACGTATTTTAACATTGCCCCCCCTCCCATTCCTACCCTCCTTCCCCAGAGTTTTGTGTCCATTGGTTGTACTTATATGCATGTATACAAGTCCTCCGGTTGATCTCTTATCTCCCCCAGATCTCCCTACCCTCCAGACTGTAGTATGTAAAATACTTTTAAAAATATTTAATTGCTTTCAGGGAAGAGGGAGAGATAGAAATGTTAATGATGAGCCGAAACCGGTTTGGCTCAGTGGATAGAGCGTCGGCCTGCGGACTGAAAGGTTCCAGGTTCGATTCTGGTCAAGGGCATGTACCTTGGTTGCAGGCACATCCCCAGTAGGGGGTGTGCAAGAGGCAGCTGATCGATGATTCTCTCTCATCAATGTTTCTAACTCTCTATACCTCTCTGTAAAAAAATCAATAAAATATATTTAAAAAAGAAAAAAAAAGAAAAAGAAACATTAATGATGAGAGAAAATCATTGACCAGCTGCCTCCTGCATACCCACTACTGGGGATCAAACCCATAACCTGAGCCCACAACCCTGGCATGTGCTGTAGATTGGAATCGAACCCAGAACCCTTCAATCTGCAGGCAGACACTATCCACTGAGCCAAACTAGCTAGGGCTAAAATGCATTTATATTCAGTGGTTTAGTGGATCAATAGAAGATCTTTTTGTCTAAACCATGAGCCAAATTGTATCGAGGTTACTGTCATGACATTCAGGGTCATGGCGGACAGAGTTCCATTGTCCTACAACACTAGGGAAATACAACCCAGTGCCTGGCACTTGGCATCATAAAGGGATGTCATTGTATTTCTAAGAGAGATGCGTGCCTCCCCCCACCTGGGGCTGCTCCTTCTCTAGACCCATGTGTTCTCTGTAGCCAGAATGCTCGCTCCCATCCCAGCTCTGCCCCAGCTACATTTGCCTAGCCCAAGCTTAAGGTTTAGCCTTGCCCACCCTGCCTGCCTCCTCTCCATACCTCAAGCAGAAGCTGCTCCCAAGGTTCCAGGCAAGAGCAAGTGGAAGGCCAGTTTCTGCAGTCACTGGATCATGAGGAGTGGAGCTTATGTAGATTACAAAGGGGCCTGGCTTCCTAGATGAGATGGGTGGGAGGAGCATTTGGGTTTCAGTCCAGAGGAAAACAAAGGCACCCTAAGTAGGATGGGAATGGCCCTGGCTCCCCTCTTTACACTTGGGGGAAGGAGTCTGCCTATAGGAGCCTTTCTTGACATTGGAATCTCATCTCTCTGCTGGTTCACAGGGATAACAGGGAAAGTCAATAAGGCCCTGATGCTCAGACCCCAAACAAATCTTTGTTATCTCTTTGGGGGCCATTTCAACAAATAGCCCTTGGATGTTAACAAAGGGCACATAATATGTAATCAAGGGAGAGAGAGTATAAGGGAGGGAAAGGGAAACCCTCTCTCTTCCCAGGAGTCCTGGAGTGGTCTTCACCAGAATTACCAATCTCCTAATAGCAGCTCTTTTGGGGGAAGTAGGAGAGGTATTCAGCTGTCTTTAGCTGGCAGGCCTTCCTGATCTGAAGAAGAAGGGGAGAGTGCCTGAACAATTTGGGTAAGAAGGAAGCCTCTGCATGGTCTCACCCAGTTCTGGTAACTTCAACATTTCTGAAGTGAGTGTGTGACAATTTTTATCTTCAGTGCCCACTCATCCTATAGATCAGAGTTAAGTAGAGAAACTGAAGATAAATCAAAACCCAAATTCCCTCCTGAGAAAAAATAGAGAGCATCAAGTTTCTTAGCAACAGAATTCCCACCTAGGTAGAGATCTCTTTTTGTTGTGACAATTTTTATTCTGTTTGAGTGAAAAATACCAAAATTCTCTCCATTCTCTGAATTTATTACTTTTTCTAGGAAAATTATTTTATTTAGTTATAATATTGTTGCAGAAGACCAAAGAAATCCAAGGACATTTCTGAGAAAAAGGAAGGATACTGTTTAATATGCCAGTGGACTCAGGGAACAGCCTTCCAGATCTGAGTGAAGAAACATGCATTGGGCCTTCCCTTATATCCCCCTCCCTGTGATCTTTGTCCCACAAACATGGATTATGCTTCCGGCCCTTTTTGCAGGTCTTGCAAGAAAGCCCCTAGGTGTTGGGGGTCTCCAGGTCATATCTGATGATATAGCCTGGCTTCAGCATTAATAACCCTCCCTCTGGGCAGTGCACTGTCTACAGCCCAATGGCCTTTGTAACCAGTTCTGCAAGATCAGTATCTGGGGAAGAGGTAGTTACTTAATTATAAGTTATCAGGAATGTACACTGAGCTTGCTGGCTTGGATTCAGATCACTAGTCTCCAAATATGAGGGTTACGTTGGAATTACCCCTTTTAGCCTCCTCAATATCAATCTCCAACAGCTAAAAATAAAAATTTCCATTGTTTTCCATTGAACGATATGGTTTGTATGTCATTTTCTTTTATAATGTCCTGTTTTTCATTAAAATAACTTCTATACCACTTAATGTATTCCACTTTCTATTTAAACACTCAGATATGGGCTTTTAGAAAGGCCATGTTAATAATTCTGATCAAATAATTTAACCAATACTCCCTCCTCTGGAAACTGACCTTGAGGCCACTTCACAGTGGACATTCCTTCTTGCTTAGACCACATTCCACTTGCTAAGACCATTATCTCTCTCCTCCAAACCTTCTTAGGATCCTGAGCACTCAGAGAATTCTCTGCCCAGAAAAAGCCCGCCTACAGTCCTTTAAAATTTCTGACACCCTGTCCCTGTGTGCTGGCACCATTTGGGGGCTCAGCCCATCTGGTATCCAGATGACCTAATCCTATCTCATAAAATAGCATTATGCAAATTGATCATCACACCAAGACACAAAGATGGCCACCCCTACATGGTCAAAGATGGTTGCCCCCATGTGGACACAGATGGCCAGCAGGGGAGGGCAGTTGTGGGAAGTTAGGGGTGACCAGGCCAGCAGAGGAGGGCAGTTGGGGAAGACAAGGCCAGCAAGGGAGGGCAGTTAGGGGTGACCCAGGCCTACAGGGGAGGGCAGCTGGAGGAGACCAGGCCTACAGGGGAGGGCAGTTGGAGGGAACTAGGCCTACAGGAGAGGGCAATTGTGAGGGGACAAGGCCTGCAGGGAAGGTCAGTTGGGAGGGACAAAGCCTGCAAGGGAAGGAAGTTGGGGGGGAGGGGGATAGACCAGGCCTGCAAGGGAGTACAGTTGGGATCCAGCAGTCCTGGGATTGTGAGAAGTATGTCCAACCACCCAGTGGAATCGGGCCTAAATGGGTAGTTGGATATCCCTCAAGGGTTCCCAGATTGGAGAGGGTGCAGGCTGGGCTGAGGGACATCCACCCCCTATGCACAAATTTTGTGCACCGGGTCTCTAGTAATTTTATAATCCCTTACCACTTTGGTTCTATGTGTTCCTCCTTTGGCAACTCTAACAGGTCACAGGTCACCAGCTCCATGAAGTAGTGAACTGGTCTTTGTTCTGGAAAATACTGCAGGTATTTATCCAGAAATCATGTTCATTAAATTCTGAACCATCATCAAAACCTGCTTTGTTGTTAACTGATGAAAGTCAGACTAACAGGAGAGACTACACAAAATTTGTTCATGTGCAGATGAAGAAGCACAAAAGAGAGGAGAAAGAATAAATTGGAGTGTTCAAGACAGTCTCCCAAGACCACAGGACATTATGAAGCCACATCAGTGACTGTACTGATTCCCGATGCAGGTGGGAAAGTGAAGGGAAGTACATTTTTGCCCCTCCCATAGATGCCTTGAAATTAATCTCTGAAATCCTTCTAGAGCCAAGGACAAAAGGGTAAAATGCTTTCAAGGCTGTGTAGGTTACCATTCCTGTTGATGATTCCCACTTTATAAGACTTCTCATTTCTCTTTCCAAGCCCATTTCACTTCGATCCCTCCAACAGTGTGAACTGGGAAAGAAAGGGGTTCCAACACCTGAGCCCTTGTTTGAGGCCAACCAGGCACAGATTGCACTTTCCCAGAGGGCGGCTCTGACCTGTGTGTGAGCCCAGCAGGTGCAGTCAATAGCCTGGTCTCTAGAACACACAGAGAAGGGCCCCATCTCCTCCCTCTCACTCTAAGCCTCCCAACACTATGTTTTCCTCAGCCCCAAGGACAGAGTGCATCTTCCCTATGTCCTTTCCCACTGCGAGTGCCAATCCCGGGTCTTCTTAATGGAGGTGAGATATTGTTCAAAGTGTCTGACCAAAGACAGAGACTTGGGAGAAGACCTAATTACTTTTCAGCCTGGGTAGTTCAATGGTCTCCTTGGTTCCACACATTTTAGGAGAGTCTCCCTGTCCTTCCCTTGTCAAGCAAGCACCAGTGCCCCCATTCTTTAAGGGTAACTCACTTGTGCCAGCTCTTGTGATAGCTTATCACAGTGGCATTAATTGTTGACCTGGATTTCTGAGTGAAAGAAAACAGCTAATAGCCCTGGCCTGGTGGTTCAGTTGGTTAGAGTATCATCCCATGCCCCAAAAGGTTACAGGTTCAATGCCTGGTCAGGGCAAACACCTAGGTTGTGGGTTCAATCCCTGGTCGAGTTGTGGGTTGGGAGGGGAAGATGAGGGAATGATCAATTGATATTTCTCTCTCACATTAATGTTTCTCTCCCACTCTTAGTTTCTCTTTCCCTCTCT